TTTTTTTTTTTGCTTTGGTTTCATTTACCAGTTACATCCCTGGCTGCCTCCTCTCTTTCATCACTGCATCTGCTGAGGGCCATCTTGGGGAGAGGAGAGTTTTCCACCGCTCTATTTTCTCTCTCCCTCCTTCTTTATGCGCCTCTCAGGGCTCAGTGCGGCAGCTATACGCGGTGGCTTTGGAATGAAATGTCTCTTAACCGAGCCATGTGCCCCGGAGCTACGGTAATTGCAGGTGAAATTCAGCTTCCTCTTTAAAATGCCATCTCTCATTTCCAGTTACCGGCCCCCTCCGTATCTCTCTCTTTGCCTGCCTCCCTCCCCTCTTGCCTCTCTCCCTCTTTCTCCCTCTGGCTGTCTTTCAGAGGCGTGTGAATCCCTCAGCCCCTGTCGCGTCTCTCTGCCCCAACAGACACTCCCATAATGCACAGCGCTGATGGTTGCACAGTGATATCAGCCATGCAGAGGAGAGGGAGGGCCGCTGCCTCGACACATGCACACTTAATGTGTGTGTGTGTGTGTGTGTGTGTGTGTGTGTGTTTGTGTGTGTGTATTGTAAGAGTGCAAAGATAGTATGACAGAAACGGAAAGTGTGTGTTTGTGAGTGGGAGACAATAAGCATATCTATTTAAATGAGTGTAAAAAGAATGCGCTGTTGTGTGCGTGTGAGTGAGTGTGTATGAGTGAGCGTGTGTGTGTGTGTGTGTGTGTGTGTACAGCGTCAGCAAGGCGTGAGCTGTGTAGAGGTGACATCAAGGTGAACACGGCGTGCGGAATGCTCTGCCGACTCGGGAGGCAGCAAATGGCTCTCTGGCAGATGGAGTCTTTGTCAGGGAAGAAAAATGGCAGCTCAAGAGCGTCAGATAGACCCCCCCCTCTCACACACACACACACACACACACACACACACACACACACACACACACACACACACACATACATACACACACACACACACACACACACACACACACACACACACACACACACACACACACACACACACTTTCTTACTGTCTCTTTGGTCACACACATGCATAGATGCAATGCAATAAATGCATGTCACACACATGCACACAATGACAGATGCAAGTGCACATATTGACACACATACAATTTCCCCCCCCCCCCCCCCCCCCCTCTCCTTCTTAGTGAGCTGGGCTGGCGGGCGGTGACCTTCCCGTGCTCGGAGGGTTCCCTGGCTGTTTGATCAATTATCCCTCTCCCATTGTTTACCAGGAGGCTGGAGTAGAGAGGAGAGGAGAGAAGGCTCAAAATGGCCACTGTCAGGTGGAGGGATCCATTTCCCTGCCAGCGTGGGGGTGGGGGTTAGGGAGGGAAAGAGAGAGACAGAGAGACCAGAGCTGTGAAGCATGCTTAGAGGGAAGGGAGGAGCGTCTCTCCCGGCAGCTGGGATGAGATGACATTACACTGAAGGTACAGCTCTGACAGTGGTTACCTTTCGTGATGCTGAAAGTGTTAAGGTAGTTGATAGACCTCTAAACTTTGGTCACTCAAGTACTAGTTTTGCGAAATGTATAATCATAAAAAGTTCATATTTATTCTGCTTTTAGTGTCAAATGAATTTCTGAAATGTATTGTTATGTTTCCGTAAAGCTGCATACACAAACATGCATGTTATGCATAATGCCACAGTACTGCAGGTACATGTCCTATTTATAGAGTGGAGAAGTGAGGTGGGGGTGCATACTCTAAAGGTCAGGTGGCAGAGAGAAAAAAAACGAGTGAGAACAAATGATGCACTAAGCGAATGACACTCCGAGGTCCTGCTTTAATATGTATGTATCGCAGGTTGATGGCTGATTTCATTAGCGCCTCTCATTGTTATGCATAGATTGTCCTCCTGCAGCAAAATGAATATTGTATTCACACACACGCGCACACACACACACACATTCACCCTCAGACACCGAACAAGCTGCGTTTTCTAGGGAATACTGTACGTTTGGATCTTGCTGAGGGCTTGAAGAAAAGGTTGATGTTTCCACAGGCTGTTATCTGAGTTGGCTATAATTAAAACAATTTACAGTGTTGTCATTTTAACACAGGTCTTCGAGGCGTCTGTAAAAATGTCCTGGTACTTGTTGTGATTATTTAGGGGTCCTTGTTGATATTAAGGGAATTATTTTCAAAGCGGCAAAGAGAGGCAATCTTTGTTTAAACGACTTGAGCGGACTAAGTCATGTCGTGTCTGAGGGTTCAGATTACGTCAATTCAATTTAACTAAATCTGTGTGTGTGTGTGTGAGGGACACAGAGAGGGAGAGAGATAAGAATATGTTGAGTGCCTGCCCATTACTCTATGTGTTTATGGGACTATACGCTCATCCTTGCTCACACAGAATACATATTAGAGGGTGCGTGAAAATGTCTGACCGCCTCTTTGTAATCCTCAATGATGACTGTGTTTCCGCAGGAATTCCAGTCCTTAGTGGGACATGAGCAAATGTTCTGTGTGAGATATTAATAGAGATTGTGGGCGGAAAAGGAAAAAAAAGGCTTCTGCATTTCTCCATATGTTTTGTAAGGAAACAGTCCAGATGGATTATCTCTTGGTCGAGATTTCTCTTGCCTCAACCAGCTCGATTCCAAGAGCTGTTAGACTTGCCAGAAACACACACACACACACACACACACACACACACACACACACACACACACACACACACACACACACACACACACACACACACACACACACACACACACACACACACACACACACACACACACACACACACACACACACACACACACACACACACACACACACACACACACACACACACACACACAATGCACTCACACTCCCCCTGTCTGAAGTACAACAGGCTATCACTGATTAACATGTCTGAACTCAGCCAGTTCAGAAAGCCACTCTAATTCCTTTTCCATCTTGCTCTTATATGAATCATGGATGACGTGACAGTCTTTCTTTCCTAACATACCTCACGTTCCTCACAGTCACAGAGATATGTTTGTCGCCTTTCTATTTGTTGCCTGAGAAACCATGTTGGCTTGTCTTCTCACATTTCACACTTGGTTTCATCCCCTTAACCCCTAATGCTCAGGCTGGATAGGCTGCCTGACCTCTTGAGTCACGGATGTTAAACTCATCGGCATCACAAGGGCCGGAGCTGGGTTCTATTTTGCCTAGTGATTGTAAGCACGGAAGGGAGCAAACTTTCTTAAGTCAAAGATAAAAAAGAAAAACAATCCATTGATGTTCTTTCTCAACACATTGGTCATGTTTGATTTTAGTTTCAAAGCTATTTGTTTGCTCTTTTTTGTTGCACATTCTTTGGATTTGGAGTTCTCTATCAACATAAGAGACCTTTTATTTGAAGATTTATCAAGTATCAAGACCTAGACATTCACACTCGCCCTTGTGACTTTAATGCGGAAAGACAAAGCTAAACACCCGCAATCACTCCTTTCCTGAGTTGGCACACGCTCTCATGTACACACATAGAATCATTATCTGGGCTGACACAACGTCACATATTTAGAGTTTCACAGCAGGCTGGCATTCCAGGACAGCAAAGAAGAGATAATGTCAGTGCACTGCTGGTTAACTCACTGTTTTATCCTGTTTGTAGGCCACAAAGCGTGAAGGGTGTCTGTTTATTACACAAACACACACACATGCATACCAGACACACCACTCTCACACAGACCACTTTGCCTCTCCCAGCCTGTTAGACGACAAAGGCAAAAAAAAAGTGACGAAAGATGCCCACAGACACGGCTGCCAGCATAGACAAAAGCTACACTCTTCTGTGTATGCATCTGACTTTCTTTTTAAAAATTTTTTTTTTACATATGATTTCTGGAACCAGGAAGTGTGCCACAGTGACTGACAGGATGTAAGGTGTGTTGTGTGATGCTTTGAGAGGGCACCGTCCCCTAAAATAGCTTTTTTTTGTACAGTGTTATTGTGCGTCTTGATTCTTCACAACCCAGTCCTGCTATATTTAAATGACGAAATCATGATATTCACCTAGTCAGCAGCGGAAAAAAGAGCTTCCTCTCCAAACCGCCCACACGGCTTTCAGCCTTGTTGTGACTTGTTTGTCTGTCGTTTGAGGATTTCAGCTTCTTCCAGAACAATTGCTCTTAAAAACCCTCGGCTCCAGAGGATGGGAGCTGGTTACACAGCAACAGAACAGAGTTAAAAAACACAGAAACACGAGTGGAGCTTGTGAGATGGAAACTAGAAAACACGATGTAGCCTCTCTCTGTATGCATGTCAGGTGCATGCATGCTATTGTTACTTTCATCACTGGTGTGTGTTGTCATGTGCAGCTGTTTGCTCTCCAGTTAGTGTACTGTGTAGTGAGTTAGTGGAGGTACGGCGGTGTGGAGCTTCTCTTCTATCGGAGATTCTCTCTGATTTATTCTTAACATCTGTCTTTGGCAGGTGTGTGGAACCACAAGGTCCTCTCTCTGAGCCTGTGATGTAGCTATGATTGCGGGCAGTGTGTGTCTGTATTCGTGTGTGTGTGCATTTGTGCAAAAACAACAGAGAGGGCCTTACTCCACCCCCTCCTTGGGATGAGTCATATCTGAGCCCTGTGTAATCCTAGCCTGTGTTTCATGTGTGTGAACAGACAGACCCTGAGCAGTGGTCTTGGTCCTCACTCCCTCTGGGGCAGTGAGTGGGTGAGACACGGCTATCAACAACAGGCCCAGGCAGCTTGGGTTTCAGCCTCGCCACACAAGGAATCTGCTCGCTGTGACATATGCACAGATACACGCACCCAACACAAGCATATTCACGTAGAGCCAAAGCTATTATTCCTCTCCCTCCTTAGCCCCACCTTAAATGATATCAGGTAACAACATGGGGCTTTGTGATTGGTTGAACTATAAGGAAGTGTAAGGATGCAAAGGATGGGCCAGTGGGTATGGTTTCACAAAGGTAGTGTCACACAACAGCGACGCTCAGTCTAACACTGTGTGTGTGTGTGTTTGTGGTCACGTGTGTCCACCTGTGGGAGTGTGATTGCAGTGCAGTAATGTCAAGGCTGGGCTTTACACAGTCAACAATGGACGCTCAAATATTTTGACTTTTTTATAAGCAATCACACAGAGGAAGTGTGGTGACACAGGAAATAGGGCCATGTCACGGGGGAAAAAGGAGCTCTATTTTGTGGATACTCTGCGCAGCATTTCAAAGCACCCCATCGCTGGTGTGACAAAACTCCTTTAAAAGCACAGCTGGACTTTTAAAAGGGCCTTCTACATTTGCCCCAAGGGGGGATGAAAGTGTCCTGGATAGAGCAGCAGAAAGGTGATACTATGGTAGAGTGAAGCTGTTTTCCATTATAACAGTCTTTTATTATCCTTTTGATTTGCATGTAAGGGCAACAGTATCATACCTTTGGTCACAGATAAGCCTACAGGGAATAAAGACGTTTATTTTCATGTGAAATGTTTTGTTGAAATTTAAGTTAAAAAAAATCAAAGCACATTTTATATTCTGTCTGTGTTGCCAGATATATCTTGCCCTGATTTTGTCATTTCACAACAATAAAAAGTATTGGATAATGATATGTTCACTGATCTTTTTGGAGCAGCATTTTCAGATGTCACTATAACAAAGCAGCAATGAGCTATAGAGAGAACAGACATTAAGCCTGTCCGAGGCAAACTGAGATGACCATATTTATGTAAGCCTATTCAGATAAACTTTATGGCCACTTTATGTTGTATTCGTGTCATTCAGACACACGTCCATATATTGTTTTCTGGCACTTTCAAATAAGAAAAAACGACTTACAGCTACTTATACAAACATTTTAACAAGTGCATGGATCAGTGGAGCTCATTGTTAAAATGATTTATAGTGGTTGTTTCTCAATCCTGACGCATGCTGAAATGGCAGGTTGCTTTGATGTATTACCTTAACTTTTGGAAAACAATGAGAGAACTTACGCTCTAGTTACATGCTCATCAGCTCTGAGGACTTTGGCAAGTTGTGTAACAATTGCAACACATTTGTTTCAGTTTATAAAAAACAGAAAACACTTCATCTTACAGCAACTGATTTTATTAGCGTGGTTACAAGCTTATTCATAATTGAGTCTGAAAGAATACTAAACTAAACTAAACTTTGTTGCTTGTCACCCCCTTCAAAAAGTTATCTTTTGTGAGTTGTATAGTCTTGTAAATCCCGACAAGAAAGCTTTTATCCTGGGATTATAGACCACTTTCATTATTGGGGGAAGCAAACATTATTACAAGGCTTTGTGTCACTGAAGTCAGAAAGCATCTCAGTGCTTCGCAAGAACATGAAGAGTCGAGTGGAGAAATCTTTTGGATACAAACCAAACCCAAAGGCATTGAGCAGCAAGTTGCCTGTTGACTTGGATCTTTTATAAATGAGTTTGGATCAATGTTATGGTTATCATTAAAGTTTATTTCGACAATACTCCTTTTAATACATTTGTGTTTAACATTTGTCTGCACAGCCTTTTCCCCCCTTCTACTGCACTATGTTGTTTATTGCATGTGTGCATAAATAAAAAATGTCATGTATTTGCTCAAGAACTAAGAAGCGTGCTATACAATATTCAGATGTTCTTCCAGCCATATATGTTTGGATGCCCCAACATATCAAACATTCTGTATTCTCTTACCCCGCAATTTCTTAAATAAGAATGAACTTTGTCATATTTAAATCACACAGCTCATTGGAAGAACTCAGAAAAATACTGTTCCTGTCGACTTTATCTTTAGCCCAGTAGGTCAGGGCTTCACTGACAGTTAAACTAATTGGTCAGGCCCTAAATCTATTTTAGTTAATTTAGAAATGTTCAGCTGAATACTGACGTATAAAAACCGAACAGTCACTTCCCCAAAAATGAACACGTAGATGGCAGCCAGGACTTCTTTGGAGCTTTATTTATGCAATTGTTTTGTTGAAGAACAGACAAGAAGTGTCTTCACACATCTCACAAGCTCCTGAGACGGGGAGTACCTCAGACGTGTAATGACAAGTTTAAAATGATGAGATCGTTGAAGATTTGGCCCTTGCCATGTTGTCGTTCCCGTACTTTCTGTCTGGAGCGGTAGAGTGGGAGTGAATGCCAGGCTTTATTTGTGTGGAATTATCAGCTCAGTTCATCAGTAAAGGTTGAACAGATTTACTAACTGTCACAGTTAGTTTACAGACACTAAGCTGTGCTATTTCATTAGAAGACCTGAGCAGATACATGTTCTCTCTTCTGTGATTTGGCTGCATCTTGCCATTCTTGTGTAATATGGATATAAATGTGTGCCTGATATTGTGGCTTATGTGTTGATGCCTGTTTATGTGTGTGTGTGTGTGTGTGTGTGTGTGTGTGTGTGTGTGTGTGTGTGTGTGTGTGTGTGTGTGTGTGTGTGTGTGCGTGTGTGTGCGTGTGTGTGTGTGTGTGTGTGTGTGTGTGTGTGTGTGTGTGTGTGTGTGTGTGTGTTGTGTGTGTGTGTGTGTGTGTGTGCGTGGGCACGCATGTGTGTGTGAAGTTTTTGTAACAGTACAAAGATGTCCCAAGGGTTTTTTCCACATTTCTCATTACAAATGCTAATGTCACATTAATGAAATCGGCTTAGTTCAAGGTTTATAGCGTAGCCTACACTGAGAGATTTGGCCTTGACACTTCCCACATATTTCAAGTTGAATCACACTTTGCCCAGTGGGCATACTATTCTGAGTTTCTCTAAAATGTACTGGCCCTGAGTGAAAGTTTGGGGAAAGTTTAGAGTGTAGGTGCCAAGCTCTGTCATCGTTGTAAATTGTCCGGCCACAGGCTGTTGGCTGTCCTGCTTCTGAAGACGTCTGTTAGCTTAGCTACGGCAGTAATGGGGCTGGCTAATCTAAACATTGTGTTAATGTGCTAGCTGTGGTTTGTAGAGTCACTAGCTGTTAATCATTGCTCAACGGAGAGCTTGTCAGGCAACAACATGCCAGAGAGTTAATCATGGTTAAAGATCCCTGTGTTTATGCAAAGAACATGTCGCACATTACTCTAATAACATCAGCTATGGTTCCAAGGGTCACATAAAGATATAAGAAACTACTGCATTCTAAATGCATTGTTTTACAATGTCTCACATATTGGTGGGACATTTACTATATTACTGATTCATGATGTCAAAACAACAACAACTCAATCTCTCAGAAAAGCGTTCATTTGAAAGATGAACCCCAATGATTTGTATATTATCCAGATTTCCTGTAATTTCTCTCACTTGATTGTGATGGGTAGAATTTTGTACTCACTGGTATTTAACTTCTTGCCCCAGTTTGCTTAAAAAAACTAAAACAAAATACATATAAAGCTTTTTAAACAGAGTAAGAGGAAGAGATTGTTCTTTGTAATTAAAAGCCAATTTTGTGAAATTGATTATATTATGCTAATCAAGGGAGATAATATCTTAAAAGCAGCGTGAGGAAGGGAGATAGACGGAGCGTGAAGAGTGGAAAGGAGTGACAGTCCAGCCGCCATTACAAGCTGCTGATTTCTGCAGAGTGCTTCATAAAATGTCAGAGCGCTTCTCCCTGAGCAAGACACTGAAAAATGGCAACGCTGTGATGTGCTGGCACCTCACCTGCTGCACTGTGTGAGTGTGTGTGTGAGAGAGAGAGAGAGAGAGAGAGAGAGAGAGGAGGAGAGAGTATCAGTTGGCGTGCGTTTGTGCAAGTGTGCCTGCCTGTGTGTACATGCCTCTGTGTGTATGTTTTTACGTGTGTGTGTGTGTGTGTGTGTGTGTGTGTGTGTGTGTGTGTGTGTGTGTGTGTGTGTGTGTGTGTGTGTGTGTGTGTGTGTGTGTGTGTGTGTGTGTGTGTGTGTGTGTGTGTGTGTGTGTGTGTGTGTGTGTGTGTGTGTGTGTGTGTGTGTGTGTGTGTGTGTGTGTGTGTGTCCGCGCTGGCCTCCCTCCCATGTTGCAGTGAAGCAGAACAGAGTGGCTGGCTGCCCGCTGCTTTGCCTCCCTCTCTGTCAATACAACAGTACTCTCTTGCAGCCAGTCATTTTCACATGTTTAACATTAAGTGAAGAGCCCCTTTGAACAGAGGAATACAAGTGATTGACATATTGAGTTTAATACTAGTGGATTTCTCTCTCATCTGAGCTTATGTTGCCAGACTGTTGTTTTGAAACTACTCAATAGCTTTTAAGACCTTCATCTGATTTCACTATTGGAACATTGTGGATCGTGTGCCACTGTAAACACCGAGCATGTTTTCTGTTCTCTACCACCTCGCGCTAAGTGCATGTTTATCCTGCTTTGCCATTTTGTGTGTTGTGTTGAATGGAAAGCCAGGGTGATTTAATGAAGTCATTGCATGCTGGTGTTATTAATGTTGATCTTAACAAAAGATAGGCTGGACAGGAGAAAGGCGTGAAGGTGGGGGGGTTGCAGAAGAGAAAATAAACATTGAGACAGGGAAGATGCACTCTTTATTTGCCAATGTCATCAGATAAAAGAGCCAACTCTACAGCAAGTTGCAAGAAGCAGGGAAAAAATGTAATTAAATACGAACATTATGATTCATAATTTTGAATGTTGTGTTAAGCACCACTACAACGCATACATATGACTTTACCTAATCTACGTCCAGTTTTGTATTATAGACTTTGTTGTGAGCTTGGGTAAAGGAAAAAAAAAGATTGTGTTTGAGGGATTTGCTCTACACTGATTAATTAGTAATTAATCAAGGCCTTTTGAAATTATATTGTCCATAATAGGGCTTTTCATTATTAATTAATATGCTGGTTATTTTCGTGATTAATTGATTACTTATTTCTTCTATAAAATGACTTTAAGCCCAAGGTGAAATATTTAAACAAGTTATTTTGTCTGACAGTTTACATTTTCAGACATTCAATTGACTTAACAACTATTATTTTTACATTTTTCTTGAAGATCAGTTAAAGGTGGGGTAGGTAAGTTTGAGAAACCGGCTCGAGATACACTTTTTGTTATATTCCATGGAATGCTCTTAACATCCCGATAGCAATGAATATTTTAAGTGCTTTGAGAAAAAATCCATAAAAAAATGTCATCTGTGGAAGCCGTAGTACTGTAAAAAGCATGACCAATCATTTTAGCTGGCCCGACTAAAATAACTGGATGGCCTACCTGCCGGTCAGCCTTCCATCTGTGCACAAACTTATCTCGTGCCCTCATTGGTCATGTGCACGTTCGTGTGTGTTGGAGGAGGGGCTCTGTAAGGAAGTGGCAGATTTTTTTCGGTTGTGTATTTTCAAATTCTAGCGATCTCGAGCCGGTTTCTCCAAAATTACC